TGAGTCCATTGCTCGCCAATACTCCCGGTTTGGCGCTAACCGTCCCGAAGAGTAGTTTCCGATTGACGGAAGAGTCGGCCGCACTGATTGGTCGAGCTCTTCAAATACTATGTGATTTACCGCTGCTTTGTTCGCCAAAAGGAAGTACTGTTATATTGCCGTCAATACTGTATTTAGTGACAGGAGTTCTGCGGGAGTCGTCGACCCAAATGAATGGCGTGTCAATCGCTGACAGTCAGCCCGTGTCTACAGTCCTGAGTTGTCTTCGATCGTTGAGCGCATCCTCTTTGGCGAAGAACAGTATCTGCGGCCAAAAGTGGACCGAATTATTACAAAGCACTTTAGCTGTGATTCTCGACTTGTGTAAGACAAGTAAGTTATCAAGTTTTACGTTTATTTGAACTTTTTTTTTCATTTGATTATATTTTTTTTATTTTATGTTTTCTATTTATGCAAACTTAAAAGTTTGGACCAATAGTTGTGGTAATGATTTATTTAAATTATTTTTGCATTTTTACGAATTAGATTTAATTTGATTTACAATTGACATCCATTTAATTGCTTGAAACTGTGATTTGATTGCCTCTCAGGTGATTCGGACGAACCAAAACCCGATGAGATAACAACACTGTTAGCGGTCGGCATATTTATAGTGAAAGCGCCGTCAGCTGTAGTGCAGGCGCCTAACCTTCAATACCCAGCTATTAATCTGTTGAAACAATCGCTTCAAAGCGACAAAAAACTCGTACGAATTGATTATTTCGTTTGAAATACAATTTATTAATTAACAATTTGTTTATTTAGGTTCAGCTAAAGTGTATTCAAACAATACGAGCCATATTTGAACAGTCACTGAGTGAAGTGTCCGTCCCATACATCCATATCCTGGCGCCGCGAATGATAGAACTGCTCAATAATTTGGTCAAAAATGTCAAAACAAATGATTTTGTCAGTCAAGTGGAGTGCGAAATAGTCTTAGAGTTGTTCCAAACGCTGGAAGTGCTCATTGAAATCGCACAAAACGATAAAAGTATGTTTAGATTTAATATTTTACAAATTATATTTATTTATTAATAACGATTTGTATTATTGTATAGAAGCCAACATTTTGGTGATATATTTGCCATTAATGGTAAACCTATTATCTGACGACAACATAAGTCGAGTGCGCGGCTATCGGCGCGTTCTTCACAATCACGCGCTCCAGAAGTTGACGTCAATCGGACCGAAACATCCGCAAGAGTTCCGTCAAGTGATCGGTTCTGTGCCGAAGTTCCGCAACAATCTGGAGAACGCCATTAGAAATCAGCAAATAAGTGAAAACAGTGTACAAAATGTGTCGCAAAACGTTTCCGTTCACAAAGAGAACCCAACCATTAAATTGAAAGTCGATTTCAGTAATTATACCGAAAATTTGAATTAAAACAATCGCTGAAAGCCAATCGACTTAACCATTTTTGCTACACTTTACTATTCATATAATCCTTTGTTTTTTATATATATTTATTTTATTTATTATATTTAATATATGAAATGATGTCTCTTTTGGATATTTATACCGTTAGTACTATAAAAAATATAAGACAAACAAATTGTACGCTTTGTTGTGCGGCAGAGAAGTTGTGATTTGCATTGAACTGCGATATAAAGTTTTGAAAATTGATTGACTTTTTGATTACTGTTAACTCATATCTTAAGCGAAGCACAGTTTCATTTTGGAGCTCAGCTTCTCTGTCGACGGACGACAAAACTTTTATTACATATTTAATATTCGACTAAATTATCAATGAAAATGTGGTTTAGATTTTATTTTAATTATATCGTAGGAATCAATTTAAACAAAACAATGTTATTGTGAAGTGAGTGAGAGATTGATAAAAGCAATGAAATGGGAAGAGAGGGAGGGGAGAGAGACTTACAAGTGTGAGGCTATTATAGAAAATTTATTGAGTTATGAAATTAAGATTTTAATGAGATTTATTGTAAATTATTTATGTTGTGGTTTACCATTGTTTAGATGCTTATTGTCTGAACAGTCCATTCCTCTGTTCCGCTCATTACTAGTATTATTGACAGTAATATAGCGTTTGTTTTTGACTCCAATTCATCCCTAGATGTGAATTATGTATTCATGTTTTGAGTGAAGTATAAAATAGTTAAATATTTATATTATTTTAATTATATTTGTAATTAAAATGGAAAATAGACTGAAATTATTGTGAAATGTAAAGAGATAATCGAATTGTTACCATAATTTAATAATTATTAGTTTATTATTTATACAAAAATTTCTTAAAATCTAATGAATATATTGTTGAATATATAGTAATATTTATTAAACAAATTTATGTCAATTTGATTTTGTGGTGATTATTATAAATAAAGTTTGATATAAAAATAACAATATGTCTAATAATTTGCCATTTTATGCAATGAGTAAGTTTCTTGTAAATATTTTGTTTTATATGTTGGATGTGTTGAACATTTGCATCATGATCGCTAACGCGGAGCTGATCCATATATCTTCATAACACAACTATGATGTCTAACAATGGATAAGTGATAGCAATGTTGGACTTAAATTACATGCCCTCTAAATGATTGTCATTTATTGCAAGTTTTAGTTATCTTTTGATTATATTTTTATATTTGTTGATTATTTATATTTTTTATATTTGATTAATTACATCAAAATTACGCTCGAAATGCATTTATTTTGGTTTTTTTGAATCACACATGAAATTATCCTTTTTATAAACTTTTTATTAGAAATGAGTGATATTTTTCGGACCAAAGTTTAGTTCATATCCTAACATCAGTTAATAAATTACTCGGAATTGATATTTTTTGTGATTAAAAAACTTAATTTAAGCTTAATTTTTGTGTTCTTATTCATGTACTATAATTGTAATTATGAACAATTTTAATCACTGTCTTATACTTACAGAACTCAGTTAAGGCTTAAGTTTCAAAGTCTATCAATAGTTAGCAACAGCTCAACATTAATACACTGAAAATTATACAATTCGGTGCATAAAAGCGTTAATGATATATCAAATCATTATATTTTTATATTTCCCATACAAGTTATTTCGCTTACATTCGCACAAAAATATTATTCACATTTCTTTCCAAAAAAAACTTTTTATTAAATTTTTGAATAAATACGAGAAATACGTGACTTATCTGATGCTTTCGGTCTTATAAAAGCCATTGCAAACCCGCATCACTTCGAGCTTATATTTCTTTTGACATGAATTTTATAATAGTTTTTATTGACGACAAGAATTGCAAATTCAATTCTCTGCCTCTAATTAACTTAAATTATAGTTTTGTGATAACACGAGTTGTTAAACGCGGAAAATGTTATTTTAATTAGTGTTTAATTATACAAGAATTTTGTGTAAATAAATATATTTGTTTTGTTTAATGAGCTCTGAATATAAATTACCAATTTTTTAGATTATAATTATAATTATTTAGATAATATTTAATCAATAATAGTTAAAATATGTGCAATTTTGTAGGCTTTTAAAATAATTTTAAAAATTTACAAAACTTCATATTTTTTCTAAAATATATGTTACAAAAAACTAATATTATATTATATTAATAAATGTTTATTATTAATTGTTTGTTAACAAACCAATTTATAATAAACATAATTTTTTCAAAAAATTGAATTGGTATAAAATTAACAAAACTTAATTTTTAGACTATTTTTATAATTATATAAAAAGGTAATTTTAAATATAAAAAGTATATTTAATTTGAATACATTTTAAAACTAATAACATATAATATAAAAGCTCACAAAAAGCTAATATATTATTGATTTTAGTTTAAAATATACAATAAGTTTCCGTTTTAGCAGAGAAATAGCGGTGTAGAGAGA